AACGGTTTTCATTATTTGCATTTGCTGTTGCTCCTCTTATTGATCTAGTCTCTTTCTGTAATAAGATGTTCATTTGTTGTTCCTTTTATCAGTTGTCCTTAAACTGCCTCTAATGATAGATCCATCTGGGGGTTTGAGGGGAAGGTGAGTTTTTTTTTCTTTTTAATAAGTGCAGGTGAATCAGTCATTCGGGATTTAAAATTAGTTCTTATTTTTAAGGGCACCAAGTACAGATTTATTCACATGTTTGCAGAATTATCTGGGAAAACTCTTGGGGAGAGTTTTTTTTTTTTTTTTAAATGCTAGCAGTTGCATTTAGACCCCCTCCAATATTCTTGCCTGGAGAATCCCAGGGACGGGGGAGCCTGGTGGGCTGCCGTCTGTGGGATCGCACAGAGTCGGACACGACTGAAGCGACTTAGCCACAGCAGCAGTTGCACTTAGACGTCCAACGGGAAGCATGAGACAGAATGTCTCTCCCAGGATTTGTCGTACTTCTTCCAAACCTGTTGTTGGGCCCACAGAATACTTTGAACAGCTCAGAACAAAAATGCAGCGCAAACACCAGGTAGTGATAGTGTTGTTCCCGATCCTGTTTTTGCAGCTGGCAACTGGAAGTATTTGGGATGAGCTTCAGCCGAGGCTCCCTAACTGGAGAGGAGTTACCTAATCAGGCTTTAAACCACATCAAAGTGTGAGCGTGTCAGGCAAGGCAACCAGTTCATAACAAATGTTGAGGAATGATAGGATGTTATGACATCTAGGATAAAATATTATTTTAGAAAAGGAATATGGCTTTTCCTAGCTCAGTATCTTTCTGTTTATCTTTGGTAGAGTGTGCCAAAGTTAGGCCTTTGGAACCTGAAAACTCAATGAAGGCTCAAGAATCTCCTGAATTCTGTGGCAAATAAAACTTAGCCAACTGGGTTGAGATTGACAGAGTTGGCACAAAATTGTGTGGCCATGAGGACAGGATGTGCCATCTTTGACTTCCTCACCCAGCTGTTAGAGAACCACCTGACAAACCACTGTGTGTACTTGGGCTGCAGCTTCATGGATCTATCTGTAGATGGTATTAAATAGCAATTGATCGCATACTCTGCAGCCGAGCGCAGCTGGTTGGAACTGTAGCTCTACCATGACCTACCTGTATGTATGTCCTTGAGTTACTATGTGGAACTCAGTCTCACTTTTGTCATCTGTGAAATGGGAATAAAAACTTTACCTCTATCATATGCTTTTTTAAGATTGCACAGTACACACACACACATACAGCATTCAGTACCTGCCCCTGGCCAAGCGTTCAGTAAATGTTTCTTACTATTTTGAAGTCATCAAAGGATGCAAAAATCCCTAACGGGGAAAAATGACACATACAGGACTCCTCAGAAAATCATGTACTGTCTTGAAAGGTCGTCACTAGTTAGCCACATTTTGCAGACACTTATACATGTGACCTTTATGTGTATATTGTTGGCCAAGGGTAATTGTTAATGATTCTAAGAAGAAACCCAAGGGGTATGTGGCGTCACTCCTGATGTTGTTTCTTTTTTTTTCCCGGTGTCATGCGTCACTCCTGATGTTTCTTTTTTTTTTTTTTCCTGGTGGCTTCTTATGAGATTGGTGGTCACCGGGCTCAGAGTTTTGAGAGGTACCACTCTTTTTCTCCAGGTTGGTTAGACTTTGGGCTTTTTTGATTGTTATTTGCCCAAAGGCTTTGGAGGCTTTGGCTGTGAGCGGCATGCTGGTTGTCAGAGGCCAGTGGAGTGTGAGTCCAGGGTAATTGGCAGAATAGGGTAAGTTTCAGGGGGTCCTCTGTTACTGTTGGGTACTGTGGCATTCACGGTACTGGGCAGCCTGCTTTCACTCTGTATGTGGCTTATTCCATGTTTGATGACTTCTTCACTCCTACGTCATCCCTGTGAGCATTAAACAAGTAGGTCATAAAACGTGACTCAGACTTTCTCATAAATAAGAGTGCTCTCAGGATACTAGTCACTTAACCTATGGCTATTTCCTGAGCTGATCAATTACCCTCCCAGGTAGGAACACTGCTGCTTCAAAAACACATTGGTTTCCCATATTATCTTTCTCACTTTATTTTGGTGAAATTCAGGACATTTTGAAATTAAATCATTTCTGAAGTTGTGCATTATCAAATGTCACAGTAAAATTATATGAACGTCTCCTTCTTTCTACGTGTAGTTTCAATTTCCTGAAGCTAATTTCTCCCTTCTAATTATGAGCACTCCAAGAAGAATTAGTTTTTGCAACTCAGCATGAGAGCAAGTAACTCTTATTTCTTCAGGCTGAGTTGAATGCAGGAGACTTCCTGAATCTGCCTGAATACAAGTGCCTAAGGTACAAGATAAGTGTTTCCTGTTCTGTTATTAATATTCTATTTTGTGCTAGGGTCACTGGGGAAATGATCTCCCAATGGTCAGAATTGTGTGCTTGATATTTCTAAAGGAATTTTACCCTGGTGATAGGTAACAGGAAAACGTGTATGATTTCTTTTTTTTCCTGGAAGGGTAACATTGATGTGAAAGTTTCAACTGTGTGTTAAATGTTATTTTAAAAGTACAAGGTTGCTTTAGACATATTTATCAAATCCAAGTGTACTTTTAGGTATCTTACTGTTTGCTCATTAAAAAAATAAAAGCATACATGTTCACTTGAGTGGATTTTGCTTTCCCATAAATAAGTGACTAGAGTGTCTTTCCACACTGACTTTTTTGTTGTTCTTTTTGCCCCTCACCCAAGTAACTAGACTGGAAAAGGGAAAGGAGAATAACATTGCATTTCAGGCAGAACCAAAACAACTTATGTTGAGAGTAGTGTTTAGAATTATCCATGGACTCATTCTTCTAATTTTCCTGATTGTAACCCATTGAATCGACCACGGGTTTTTGTTGTTGTTGTTGTTGTGTTTTTGTGGATTCAGTATTAGTTAACTAAGAACCAAATATGCTAATTTTATTAGAACCAGAACTCTTCTGCTTCCTGGGATCCGTCACACAATCTCCCTCCCTTTCTTGAGAGTTGTTGTACCTTGTCTGGTTCTAAAATTGGTTCCTAACAAGTATTGTATCAAAACAAAGCAAAAATAATTCTGCTTTCATTGTTCTCATATCTTTAAAACTCATATGCCTGGGTTTTAATTCCTTAGTGTAAGTTCTTTTGTTAATGCAGTCTTACAAAATAGTCAGGATCCTATCTTGTTCCCTACGGAAACCTTGGAAATGACAGTAATCTCTCTTATTTTTCATCTGAGAACATAACAAAAAGGTATGAGAACTCTGTAGTACTTTTCTATCCCCATCTCCTTCATTATCAGATCATTAAATAGGAACTATGACTATTAATTTTAGCAAAATGATGTACTGTCTACCACTTCTAATGGCTTATTACACATCAGGAACTAGGTTAAATACTTGGCATGACAGTTGACTCTCAAACAACATAGATTTGAACTGCACAGTTCCATTTATATGCAGATTTTTTTTCACTAAGTGTGTACCACACAGCCTGTTGTTGGTTGGATATATGGATGCAGAACCATGGGTATGGAGACCCAGCTCTAAGTTATATTCAGATTTTTGACTGTTCAGGGACTGGTACCCCTAACCTCCACATTGTTCACAAGGCAACCATACTTTGATTCAGTTGGTACAACAAAGTAGATATTAGCATCCACATTCTAAGTGGGGAAACTGACTCTTTGAAAAGTCAATTTCGCATAGATAGAAAATGAAGGAGCCAAAAAATGGTCGCTGGGCTCCCTCTCATTAGGAGGCCACCCTCAAAAACATGGATATGGTGAGTATGATAAGAAAATGTGGTGTCAAGTGAAGCAATGTGCAGTTTCATCCCTGAAAGTTAGCTGTAAAGATAGCGGGTTCTCTGTCTGTGTGGAGACACACCAGAGTACATACGTGCCCATATGACGGGGTGCAGACATTACCACCTGCCCCTGTCACACCTCAAGGGAGGTAGCAAGTCATTCTCTCTCCTCCCCCAAATGTTCTGACCCATCCTTTGCAAATATCCTTCTAAAATGAAGGTGGTAGACGAGAAGCAAAGAAAACAACCACCCAAGCTGCATGATAAGTTGCCATATTTCCAAGTTAAGTAAAAGAAAAAAGTCATAGCTCACATTCAAGATTGAATTGAATAAGAATCCTGATTAGAATTTCTTGCAGGCACTGAGTCAGATGCTGTCTAGAAAATAACATGTTCTTTGAAAGGGAACGAAAGGCTCTGAATATGTACTCGGATTTGTTTTCTGTGTGTTTATTAGTTTTGCAGTTCTGATGAAAGTATCTTCCATTCAGTAGTGTCTGTGATCTTCAGTGCTAGCAGCCATAAGAAATAGATATTCAATAATTTAATAACTGTTTATTGCAAATTAAGATCACTCCCATAACTGTCTGTGCCTGGGTGCCCAGTGTTGGGCTCTGTACCTCATCCTCTTTCCTTCAGAACACTGAAAATGGAGACTCAGTTTCAGCTCAGACTTTTTTCGTATCCCACACATCCATCCAGAATGGTTAACATTGCTAAGTTCTTTGTTAAATTACAAGTCTACTGCCTGGCTAAACAAGTGAACAAGAAATGTTCAAGAGCCCTCCAGTTTTGACTTTAGCTTGTTGTAATTTTCTAATGACGATGCAAGATTCTATACACAGGATGACAGGGCCAGGATTGGGAGCCTTTTTGAGGAAACTGAAAATCCTCACCCTTTTAAAACCTTACATCCACTAGTAGCACATTATTTCTCAAATGAAAGGTTACATTTTCTGCCTCCCTAAGACTAACGTCACCTCTCCAAGTGGAAAACAAGAGCGGCATTTGGCATTCGTTGGTCCCAAACCCAAATCGCTGACCCTTTGTTTTTAGTACTTTGCCCTTTTGCTTTTGCTTTTTTGATTTGCTTGTGACTCTCTGCTTCCCCCATCTTTTTTTTTTGGTACAATGATTCTTACCTTGTCTTTCCCCAGTCCGTTTCTGACCTGGAGAGACGTGCAGCATGTTATTGTCAGGACTTCCCGTGCAGGACATTTGAACGCTAATGACTGGAAAACCAATGCTGCTGGTTTTAAGGGTGAGAACTTCTTTCATCTTCTGTCACAGGCAAAATATTTTTATTTTCCCCCATTTTAAATGGAGAGCAGGCAACAGAACCCCTCCACAGAAACTTTAAATTTTGTACTGACACAGGATGAGGTTGATCTCTTAGTTAAAAAAAAAAATGAAAAAGGCAGATTCCTCTTTTTAAAAAAATTAAAACAACATATTTACGGCAGATTTCCTTGGCTTCCCATATCATAGGTCAGTTTCTTTAAAGGTAACCATCTCCCAAGTATTGTCGACCTATGAGGCTCCTCGTTAGCTTACTATTTGCTGTCCTTGATTATCTGAGTGATATTTGTAACAATGAATTTTAAAATTCCTTATCTTCTGGAGTGATTGCTTCCAATTAATAACATCTGGTATCTTTTGTTCCTTTGAGGGTGGCACCGTTAGTTGGTAGGCTATGCATTCTATATATTTTGTTTTTGTTTTCCCCAAACTTCCACAAATAGGAAAACAGGCCTAATTCCATGATATTACTTTACATAAACTAATAATTCTTATGAAGCTTCATAATGCAGTCTTATGCAAGTGTACACAGGCTATAATAAGTGCTAACTTTTTCCCATGGCTGATAAGGATTATAGTTCCTTCAAACTATCTTACTAATAGTAACTATTTTGTTTGTTGTCATCCATAACATATGCTATAATCAAAAGAAAATAATTATATAAAGTGGATGTCCTACAGTTTAGTATCTTTACTCAAGTTTCAGATAACCTAAATTTTAAACCATTAAGTTATAACAAAGATTACTTTTTGCCATATCTGCAGACTTACATTTATTCCCAAATAATATTTGTATCATTATATATCCCTATAGATGAAAAACAGTATTCCATAACAGAAGGAATATCTACTTACAAATTGCAGTTCTGGTCCTCAGATCATTGGTAATAAGCTGAATAATCCTGGGCAAGTCATTTCATTTTTCTGGGCCCTAACTTCCCAACTTAGTTTAGAAGCTTAATAATATTAACTACATAGAATATCTTATGTGTGATTTCCATATATCCATAGTATATTATACTCAATGTATATAAATATTCATGCTGAAAATGTAATGTGTAATTTTAAAAATTATTTGCAAGTAGCTTATTAGAGTTTCATGCTTTGCCAAAACCTTTCAATATGCCAGTTAACCAGTGCCATATAAAAGAGTTCTTTGACTAACATCTTCACTGAAGACTTCACTTTTAGAAAAGATAAAGACTAGCCCTCTTCTTTTGAGTATTATCAAACACCTTTCCATGTTTGTAAACTATATAATGCAGCAGTGTTCGATGAGCTTTTAATTGAAAGCTTTGTAAATACCAGTTGGGATCACATTTTCTGAAGCCCAAATCAAGACACAGTCCCAAAATAGTAAATGCTATGTGCAGCATCAAAAACATTTGAAAGTTCAGTTGTTCGAGAAAATCCAGGATGTAATTTGCCATATGTATGTTTCCTTTTGATTTGCTTCCACATGCTTCCAACCCCTACTATAAATTCAGGCAGTCAAGGGGTTGAGTTTGGGGGGCAAGGTGGGGTGGGGGAAGGGATGAAAATATAACCTTGGTTGGTTCAACACTGCAATGAACTTCTTAGTAGAAGGTTCATAGACTAAGTACATTGACCTCCATAAAGCTGAGGAATCAACTTTAACCCAAATAAAAGTCTTAGTTTTACTTATTCCTTTTTGGCAACTTAAAAAGAGCAAATGGTTCTAATAAAAAAAAATGCAACTCTTTTGAAAACCTCTGTTGGTTTTGGAGAGGGGGAAGCAGAGGCTTTAGACTGAATCTCGCCAGATCCAAACCTGAGTCTGAAGGGGGCTGTCCACTGCTTCTGGCAGGGGGCAAAGAGCGTTTTACTATTGCACGTGGCAATATTTAGTATAATATTTCACTCTTCTCTTAGATTACTGCCAAGAGTAACAATTAAAGTTCGCTTTTTCATAGATGAATTACCCTGAATGGTCTGGACTCCCAGCGGAATTGTTTTGTAATTTTGTTGATGGCAAGCCCCATATTTCATCTAAACATGATCATAATAAGAAGAATTTTTGAAATTTTCTTCCCTTCTCTAAGCGTTCCCGTCCTCTCCCTAGCATCCCACAAATAAAAGCGATGAAGGCAGAGGCTAGCAGGAGAGGAGTCATGCTTTGGCAGGCGGGGGGTGGGGAATGCAGGTCACTAGGGCTGGAGAAAGATGGGCTGACTTTATGCAATAAGAACTGAATGAACAAAAAATAGTGAAGGCTTGGAAAATGTTCATGCAATGAGAGCTCATTTCAAATTAGGTCAGCCAGCTTTTGCAGGCCTTACTTAGTGGGAACACATGGCCTGCAGAAGAAGTTGCCTGCAAACAGAAGCCTGCAGCCCTGGGTCCGTGCCCTTACCACTGGGCTTGGTCCTAATGCTGAGTGAGATGTAGGCACGAAACAAATCTGAAAACACCTGTGCTTCCCTGGGCTTGCTCCTATGGCCTCATGTTGAGTGATCTAACTTGTATGAAGAGTGGGTGTTGGGTTGTTTTTTTTTTTTTTAATCACTAGAATTTCATAAACAGGTTGGCAGGTACTCTTCTGCAATGGGGCTGTCAGTATGAATGTCCAGATTTCCTCTTTCTCACCTGGTAAAGCAGACAGCTCAATGTAGCAACCAGTTAGGTTTGGGGGTCTCACCATCAATAGACTTGATAGTCTTAGTTCTCACTGATAACTTGGGAGAAGCCAGCACCCTACAGATCAGGCTTTTCGCAAACCCTGCTAAGTGCCTTTCATACAGCGTCCTTACATGTCTTTGAACCTACCCACGTGTGGTCCATCTAAGTTAGAGAACAGACCCACATACCATCAGATCTAGACTGATGTGGGTCTCCGTTCAAGGCGGACTTGATCCACTCTTACCTACATGTGTTATGGACCTGGATTCCTGGCCCCTAGAAGGACATTCCTTCCAGAAGCAACTGCTGGCTTCTGTTAACTGGCATGGACGGATTGCATTCAGGCAAGGAAGTTGCCCAAGGAGGACTGACTCCTCTGTGCATTTCTCTGAGAGCAGAGTTACAGATGAGCTGGATGCAGAGAACTTTCTTCCCCTTTCTCTGCACTCTCCTTGCAGTGAGATCAATTTATAAACAGTCCTATAGTGAGATCCGTTCACAGTGAACCACTCATCAACATTTTTATGTTATGGTAGCTTAACTTTTAACAGTGTTAACTGAACTAAGATGATTCTGTCTTGCAGCTTCTTTATAATAATAATCTAATACAGATAAAATACCTTCTGTAGAAGATCTGTTTTTTAAAATAAACATAATTCAATGAATACATACCTATGAAAACTAACTGGATGTTATTTTGATATGTTCATCCTGTGAATAATCCTAGCTAAGTTTCAAACAACACCTTTTGATTTTAAACCTCTTCCAAGATAGTTTTTTTAATAATAAATGGAATAAATGTGATGCATCTATCAAATAATCTGAGATTATTCATGAAAGTAGGAAAGTATTTGCATGAAACCACATCAACAGATGTGTTATCCGCCACTAGAGAACTAAAATCCAAATTCCAGTATTTTTGCTACTGACCAACATTTGCAATGCCTGGAGACAACTTTGGCATTCAATTGTTTGTTTGGGAATTTCTTTAGTATTTCTTTTTCCTTTTTTCCTTTTGCTCTTATGAAATGTCTTTTCTGTTTTTTTTCGTTTCTGCTCTTTTTAATAACCCCCTCGTGCACCTTAAAATGTGCAAATCAACCATAGAAGTGAGGGTTTTGCCATCTGGGTGGTTTTCTTCAAGGAATTTAATTTACGTAGTCTCCTGATTTACTTATTCACAAGTATTTCCTGCACACCGTCAGCAGGCCAGCCCAACACATGATGAAGCACACTCAAAGAGCAGAAACAGAGGAAATGCCCAGGCCCTATGACTCTGCCTCCTGTGATCTGGCTGCACTGTGATTTCCCTACAGAAACAGAAGCTTACGCTGTACTTCTGTACAGTCAAACCCAATCAGTCTTTCAGGTTCATGTTTATAAAAGTGTCAGTGATCCTTCTCTCACCATCTAAAATGCAGCCCAGCCTGAGCAGCAGAAGGCAGCTAATGAGAGAATCTCTCCTGTGGCATGCCACATACATTTTGACGAGTTCTGTTTTTGCAAAGAAGGTGTATGGATCCTAGGGCCCTGCGGAGGGCTTGCTTGAATTCTGCATTCTTCTAGAATCCATGGCTCAGAGCCTTTCAGGAAGAACCCCTCCCTCTTTCTGCTTTAATCTGAGATCCCTGCCTATTTCCTACCCATCTCTTCCCCCAGTCTCCTGGGCTGTGCTCATCGAATCTTTCCCCCACATCCGTAGCCCTGGTTTGCTGATGCAACTATGAGAAGTCTAATTGAATGCATGCAACATCGATGCTATAGTTTTTTTTCAAAGTGTCTGTATTTGGATATGATAACTTGATATTATGCAGTTAAACTCTCTTAAATCTAGGAACAGGAATAGACGTCAGATAATAAATTAGGAACTTCTGTCATCTTTACTAGGCGAAAGAAAGAAAAAAATGTCATTGAAAATCAAAATGACAACTAAGTGAGCGAGGTTACCACGCCTTCCATTTCACTGCCCTCCCAGACTATGTAAGTCTCTTTTTTTCTACCAGCATGTTGCTGAAACCTCCCCATCCCCACTGACTCTTTTCTTTGACCACAACTAAACTACTAGATTTTTAAATTTTTATTTCTAACTGATTTCCCACTGTGGGGAAAACAATTGACAGTCTAACATGACTTCTTAGGCTCAAAGGCCCTTAACTTTTAATAACCTTTATTACTTTTAATTGCCATCATTTTATTTCCACTGGTAGGGCTGGTAATTTTAAGATGTTCCAATATATTTTTAATACCTACTTGTCTTGCTTTCAGTTTGTAACACTTATTTAAAAAGAATTTAGAAGTGCTGAAACCATTAAGCATGCCATG